TTTCTTTCTTTCTTTCTTTCTTTCTTTCTTTCTTTCTTTCTTTCTTTCTTCCCCAGGTTCCCAAAAGGCTTTATTATATACAGAGGGGAGGGGTTCAGTCCTTTTTGGATGCCTCTTTCCTCATGACTACCAAAATATTGCTCAACTCCTCTCTCTCTCTGTCCCCATGGATGTGTGCCTCCATCCTTTTCTTGATGAACTTGAGGACGTGCTTGTCTTTAGAGACCATGAGTAACTCCATGGCTTGTGGCTCTTACGGGGTGAAGACAAACAACTGTCGGATCATGTCAGGTTATGTTGGATCATGTCGGATCATGTCACGAACTTGGTGTGCTTGGTGGGATGCCCGCAGCGGTGGCTGTGCCTCAGCTTGCTTACGGTCTTAATCAGCTTATGTCCCTTGTTGAGGCCTCCGGTCATAACGTATCACAGAGCCGTGGCAGCTGCTCCTCAGTGGCTCCTGAGGCGGAAGCCTGTTTACTTTCAAGATTCTTTGTCCTTAGTTTTCCAAAGTTTGATTATGATGTGCCTAGATATGCTTTCTTTGCATTTATCACATTTGGGGTTTACTCAGCTTCTTGAATCTATAGGTTTATGTCGTTTACCAAATATGTGATATTTCAGCCATTATTTCTTCAAAATTTTTTTTCAGACCCAAGTTTCTTTCTGCTTTTCTTCTGGAACATCAGTGATATGAATGTTAGATATTTTGTTATTGTCCCAAAGTCCCTGAAGCTCCTTTTGTCTCAACAGGTACCTTTTAATTAAGAAAAAAAATCTACTTTTATTTTGTGTAGAATTCAATCTATTTACTCTCTGTTGTTCAGAGAGGATAATTTCTATTGGTCTATTATCAAGATCACTGACTCTTTCCTCTCTCATCTCCATCTTCCATGGAGAAGAATGAGTTTCTTCCACTGAGTTTTATTTCAGTTACTATATTTTCAGTTCTTAATTTTCTGTCTGGTTCTTTATGTCCTCTATTTCTTTGCTGAGACTCTATATATTTTTTAAAATATTTATTTATTTTGAGAGAGAGAGCAAGTGAGCAAGTGTGAGTGGGGGAGGGGCAGAGAGAGAGAGAGAGAGAGAGAAAGAGAGAGAGAATCTCAAGCAGGCTCCTTGCTATCAGCACAGAGCCTAACATGGGGCTCAGTCTCACTAACCATGAGATCATGACCTGAGCCAAAATCAAGAGTCAGATGCTCAACCAACTAAGCCACCCAGATTCCCCAAGATTCTATATTTTAATTTGTTTCAAGAGGGTTCATGAGTGCTCCTTAAAGCATTTTTACAAGTTATTTTAAAATTCTTGTTAGATAATTCCAATATCTGTGTCACCTTGGTGTTGGTATCTATTTATTTGCTTTTCCCATTCTCTTTAAGATTTTCCTGATTCTTGAAATATTGAGTATAATGAGTTATTTTCTCTTGTACCCTGGATGTTTAGGGTATTATGAAACTACAATTCCTTTTTTTTTTTTTAAGATTTTATTTTTAAGTAATCTCTATACCCAACATGGGGCTTGCACTCATGACCCCAAGATCAAGAGTCTCATGCTCTGACTGAGCCAGCCAGGTGCCCCTATAATTTCCTTTTTAAAAAGTGTTACTTCCAGGGGCACCTGGCTGGCTCAGTCGATTAAGCGTCCAACTTCAGCGCAGGTCATGATCTCACAGTTCATGCGTTCGAGCCCCACGTGAGGCTCTGTGCTGACAGCTCAGAGCCTGGAGCCTGCTTCGGATTCTGTGTCTCCCTCTCTCTCTGCCCACTCCCAACTTGCACTCTGTTTGTCTCTCTCTAAAGCGAATAAGTAAAACATTAAAAACATTTTTTTAATAAAATAAAATAAAAAACTACTACAGTCTTCCTTCTGGCCGCAAGGTATTTACATTCCTTCCACATGCAAAATCCACTCTTTCTACAACCTCAAATCACTCATCTATTTTGCATCAGGCTCATAGTCAAGGTCCACAATCACATTGTCTAGATCAGATCCAGGTGTTGTGAAGGTCACAATACTGCCAGGATTCTGGAAGTCTGGGGTACTTCTTGAGGGAGGGAAGCTGGTGCAACTATTTGGGAAAGCAATAGATGAGTATTTAGGACCGCGTTGCCTGTTATGGTAGCCACCAGTCACATACATCAATTAAATTTAATTTAAAGAAAAATGAAAAGGCCTGGAAAATTCAGTTCCTCCATTGCACTAGCCAATTTTTTTTTTGACAGAGAGAGAGAGAGAGAGAGAGAGATCACAAGCAGCACAAGAGGGGCACAAGAAGAGAGAGAATCTCAAGCAGGCTCCATGCTCAGCGTGAAGCCCAACACAGGGCTAGAACTCAACACTGGGATCACGACCCAAGCCAAAATCAAGAGTTGGAAATTCAACCAACTGAGCCATCCAGGAGCCCCTGCCCTGGCCTGATTTTAAGCACTCAATAGCTGCATGTGGCTAGCGGATACTGCATTGGACAGCACAGACATGGAACACTTCCTCCCTTGAAGAAAGTTCTATCAAACCGTGTTGACTAGACATTATAAGTTCAGGTATACCCTATGCCCCAGAAATCCTACTCCTGAATATATGTCTTAATCTGGAGTCTCCCAAAAGCATGGCTTGAGCCAAAGAGACAGGTGACTTAGTTGGGAGGTATCCCCAGAAAACACAAGTGAGTGGGGAAATTGGAGCTGGGGGAGGGAAAAAAGCCAAAGTGACGAAGAATCTGGACTACAGTGAGGCAAGTAAGGCACCCAGGGCACTTGCCTGAATCTGAGAGTGAGTCCCTCCCTAAGTTTGTACCCCAGCTGCCTTGCTTCCCCACCCTAGTGCCAGCTCTGAAAGGGTGACTGCTGTGGGCAACTCAAGCTCCTTCCTAACCGGGGACCCTCCAAGGACATGAAGAGTCACGCAGAACGCACCTCAGAATCGACCCACTGAGGAAAAGGGAAGCAAAAGTATTTACTGACTGCCTCCCAACCCTCGCTGGCGGAAGATTGCCCTGGAAATTAATCCTGGCCCTTCCAGGTGTATTCTGCATGCAGACAGGAGGAAGTCCTCAGATGGGGAAGAAAGGCACAGTCATATGAGGTGGGAAGCTGTCAAGGTGTTCGAGAACTGCCCACCAGGTCTCCGAGTGAGTGAAAAAATTAACTGAAGGGATATGGGGGGGCGCACCAGCTGGGGTGTTATGGGATTTCCTAGAAGACCTCCCACAGAGAGGATCTGTATGAGCCTTATAGTGATAGGGAGCTAGAGACAACCTAAGTGTCCATCCCTAGGGGAGCAGATAAGTAAAAGTGTCGTGGGCACGCCACGGAATACAACGTGGCAGTTAGAAACGGAGAACTTGGTGTATACCTCTATATGGAGAGATTTCAGAAACAGTTATGTTTTAAAAAAAAACAAGTGGGGGGGGAGAGAAATGGAATGAAATTTATAGCACCATCCCATTTATGCAAATTGGAAATACGGATACACACACAAAATCACAAATTATAAAGATACGTCTTTGCAGCCGAATATCAAGTGCATTAAAGTGGGTACCTGTGAGCGGGTGAGGTGGGAGTGAGGATAGAGTAGGGGAAGGGGGGTAAAACCTTAGAGAGTCTTTCATGGGCCAATTGTGATTCTATGTTATGATCTGAGGAGTATGATTAATAACTTTCTGCACCTAAGGGCCAAGAGAAAAAAAAAAAAAAAAACAAAGGAATGAAAAATATGAAGTCTCTGCACATCAAAGCAATTCCCTACCTGCTACACAATTATTATTACCGCAGGGGGATGAGGATAACAAAGCAACCAGACTCTGCCTGCCTTCTGGAAGCCCTCCTCGCTGCCTTCTCCCCAGGCAGCCTTCTCCCCAGGCAGCCCCTCCAGTCCCCAGCAAGTTCTCTGGCCCCTCGTAAAAGAGGAGCTCCCTACCCTTTCATGCTACCTAGAGGGAGAGAAGGGAGAGCTGGCTGGCTGCGAGTCCCAAAGGTTCCCATCTTCTTTGGTTGTCTGTAGAATAGAGGGCGAGCTCATGAGGCGCTGTTCAAACCCCAGCTGTGCCTCAGTCTCCTCACCAGTAAAATGGGGATGATCATAAGTGTAACAGCTCATAGGAATGTTCAGAGCATACAATGAGTTCCCAGAACAAGCTTGAATGGGCAAAGCTCCCTCTCTACCACTCCAGCAGCCTCCCTGCACATACCCTGCCCAAGCCCCTGCCCTGCTGTGCCGGTACCTGCCTGGGTCTCAATCGGGGCATTCTCAAAGCTCCAGGAATTCCTCTACTAGGCTCGGGAACTCCTTAGGTTCCTCTTGATATTGAATTTCAGTTTCTGTTTCCATCTTAGCTTAACTCTGGGCGCTCACCTGGCCCCACCCACACCCGTGAGCTCACCTGGCCCCACAGCTGGCCCCACCCACTCATCCCTTTTAAGCCATTGCGAATCGCAATTTCCATCTGCCTTTTCACTTTACACACATCAGCATGATTGCTCACTTAGCCTGGCTCAAAAGCAGAGCCATGCAGTCAGGGAAGCAGTCACAATTTGGCCATGGCCGCGGCATGGGTCCTGGTGCTGGTGGCTGCAGGGCTGAGCTTGGCCAGCGCGGGCCCCGTCCCCACTTCCAAGCCCACCACAGCCTGGACGGACTGTGACTTTGGCAGGTTCAAATCTCTGTCACCAAGGGAGCTGGAGGCTTTCAAGAAGGCCAGGGATGCCTTGGTGAGTCCCCACTGTTGTGGGCTAACCTCCAGCCTCCTGCTATGGGCTAGCCTCTCACTTTCCAGCCATGGGTAACCACTGTCCTTTCTGCCATGGATTAAACTGCAGCCTTCCTGGAGGGCCAGGCTTCATCTTTGCTGCTTCGGGCTAGCCGCCAGCCCTCCTACTGGGGGCTAATCTCTGCTCTTATTCTCTAGGAAAATTCGCTGAAAAGCTGGAGTTGCACCACCCGCCCCTTCCCTAGAAACCGGGACCTGAGACAGCTACAGGTGAGTTGGAAGTGAGGCCACCCTTACCGGCACCTGGCCCCTCTCCCTGACTCCTCAAGGGGCCCCTCACCTCCTTTATCTCACCTGTCCTTCCCTGTCTCTGGTCTCTCCTCACCTGTCCTGTGCTCCCCCCAGCGCCCCCCCCCCTTCTGCTTCAACTGCTCCCTTGACCCCATCCCTCCCTTGGGTCTCTTTCTGTCACCTCTCTGCCTGTCCCCACGTCCCTATCTCCTTCACCCGTCCCCGTCACTTGCACTCTTACCCAATTTCTTCTCATTTCTCTCTTCTTTTCACTCCCATCTCCTCAAGCTTCTGTGACCCGCGTGAGGTCACCTTTCACTTGTCCCATTTCACTTTTCACCCGTATCTTCCCTTATGTTTCTGCCTTCACCTGTGTCCTCTCTTCATCTGCATCCTTCTCCTGCCTCCCTCTCACCTGGCCCGTCCCTGATCCCCAACCTGTGTGTCACAAACCACCTGCCTTTCCTCTCTGCACTCCCGGACCTGTCCCCACTTAACTAGGCCCTCTTGCCTACGCTTCCTCTCCTCGCTTCCTCGCCTATTCTTTCTCATCTCTCTGCAGGTGTGGGAGCGCCCCGTGGCCTTGGAGGCTGAGCTGGCCCTGACGTTGAAGGTCCTGGGCACCATGGCTGACGCGTCCCAGGGGGACATCCTGGACCAGCCCCTTCACACACTGCGCCACATGCACTCCGAGCTCCAGGCCTGTGTGAGTGCTCGGGGTACCGAAGCCGTGTATGTGGGTTCTCCGCTTATGGGACTCTCCTCTCTGCCGCGGGCCCTGCCTCACGCGCCACCCTCCTCTGCCCCCAGGTCTCGGCTCAGCCCACAGCAGGCCCCCAGCCCCAAGGCCGCCTCCACCACTGGCTGCACCGGCTCCACGAGGCCTCGAGGAAGGTGAGTGACCCGAGACGGGGACGGATGCCCGGGCCCTGTGTAAGGGAGGAGGTTGGACACCCCAGCAAGGGCAACCATATTCTCCTCTCACAGGAGTCTCAAGGCTGCCTCGAGGCCTCTGTCCTGTTCAACCTCTTCCGCCTCCTCAAAAAGGACCTGGAATGTGTCGCCAGTGGAGACCTGTGTGTCTGAGGACGCAGACCCACCCCCAGCTCATGTGGGACCCCAGAACTTATTTATGCACGAAGAAGCCCCAACCTTGCCTTAAGTTATTTCCTCTCGCCCCTTATTTATGGAGCCGTGGCGGTGACCTAGACCCAAAAGCAATGCTTGTTTTTCTACTTTTATACAATATGCACAAATAAAGCAAAGGGTGGGACCCTTCTGTGAGAGTGGATCCTTGAGTGCGCGTGTGACTGAGTCTGTGGCTGCATGTGGACGTCTGTGTGGTGCAGGTGAAATGCGTGACTTCTGCGACTGTGTGCGCGTATGGATCTAAGCGAGTATCTGCCTGAACCTCAGTCTGACTGAAGACGTACAACGGTTCATGCCCACACGTGCGGGTGTGTGTGCATTTAAGCGCATGTTTATATGTCTCTCTGTCTATCCCTGTCTGTGTGAACTGGGCACCCCTGTCTTCCATGGGTACTTAGGACAGTCGGAGGTCCAGCTCAATCAAGATGCTCTATCCTATAATAAGTATCAGAAAGCTAACTCAAGTGGGGAAAGCAAAAATGAGTTCATTATCATACATAACAAAAAGTCAGCTGGCAGGGCAGTTCTAGGACTGGTTGATTACTTAATATTCAATAATGTTATCGGGGAACCAAATTCTTTCCGTTTCTTTTTTTAAAGTGTGTTTATTTATTTTGAGAGAGAGAATGTGCACGTGTGCGCAGGGCAGAGAGAGGGAGAGAGAGAATCCCAAGCAGGCTCTGCACTATCAGCACAGAACCTGGTGTGGGGCTCAAACTCATGAACCGTGAGAGCATGACATGAGCCAAAATCGGACGCTTAACTGACTGAGCCACCCAGGTGCCTCTGTTGGCCGATTCTTACTCTGGCTACCTCATGGTCTCGAGACGGCAGCCACGGCCCCAGCTGTCACACACAAACAATATCTTCCAACTCATAACCAACCGCCTCAAGCTTAATGGAGTAAAACAACAACCATTTTATCCTGCTCACAGATTCTGTGGGTCACGAATTTGGACACGGCCCAGTGTGGACAGCTTGCCTCTGCTCCACAATGTCTGGGGCCTTCTTCACTCTTCTCCCACAGTTTTTAAAAGCAAGGAAAGCCTTCCGGAGAAACTCCCTGTTGGATGCGCATGCTTCTCTCCTTGGCTAGAATTCAGTCACATGCCCAAGCCTACAGCAATCCGGTGGCAAGAAAGATATAATTACAAAGATAGTGTTGGGGGGGGGGGGGGGGTCCGGCTGACTCAGTCAGAAGAGCATGTGACTCTTGATCTCAGGGTCATGAATTCGAGCCCCACATTGGGTGTAGAGATTACTAAAACAAAATAAATAAATAAACTTAAAAAAAAAAAGATGGTGTTAGACTAATCAAGATTCACCCCTGATACTAGAAAGAAGGCCTTTCCCTGAAAACATGCCCCATGGAGAGGGGATACCAGAACACACTTAGAGCTCGACCAGCAGGAAGAAGGTAGGAGATAGAACCAGGTAGCAGCCTATAATGGCACATGGAGGTTCCAAGTCGTGTATCTCTTGCAGGACTAATACTCAGCGGGTCCCCAATGGTAGCACTGCTTCTGTTGTGGAAAATATTGAAAACACTTTCAAACTAGTTGGCAAGTGGCTATTTCCCCGAGGTCCCCCTAAACAAACCAGCTCCATCCATTCCATCCCAGGCTGGCCCCTGGAATCCCTAGACCTCTCCACAATTCAGAATTGTGCCCCAAAAGAATTAGGGGCGCCTGGGTGGCTCATTCGGTTAAGCGTCCGACTTTGGCTTGGGTCATGATCTCAAGGTTCGTGAGTTCAAGCCCCGCATCAGGCTCCGAGCTGATAGTACAGAGCCTGCTTGAGAGATTTTCTCTCTGTCTCTCTTCCCCTCCCCGACTTGGGCATTCATGCATGTGCTCGCTCGCTCTCTCAAAATAAATTTAAAAACTTAAAAAAAAAAAAAAAGAATTAGTACCTGCTGCAGAAGGGATGAGGGGGCGGTTCCAGGATCTGCTCCAATGTGTGGCCAACATGCATTTTGATTCCAATAATGCCAGATATTAACTAGTTCCCTGGCATCTCCAATTTGTGCATGGTATGTGCTGTGACTTTTAAAAAGTGGCCACAAATTCTTTGACATTCCTCCCTTCAAGAGGTGGAGTCAATGCTCCCCCCTCGTTGAACTTGGACTTGCAACTTCTCCAACCAATAAAGTACAGTGGAAGTCAAGACGAGTGACTTCCAACACCGAGTCCACTTAGCACTCTTGGATCATGAGTTCTCAGACTCTCCCCCTTTGGAACCCATTGGAACCCAACTGCCACGACGCAAGAAGCCCCAACCACATGAAGAGGCCACATGTACATGCTCTGGTTGACAGTCCCAGCTCAGCTCAGCTTTGAAGTCATCCCAGCTCAGGAACCAGACGTGTGAGTGGAGAAGCGTCCAGATGGTTTCAGCTCCCAGCTGGGGCAGAGACAAGCCATCCCTGATCCCCACTGTCCCACGATCAAGCCCCTGGCCCACCCAATCTGGGAGCATAACAAAATAGTTTTTGTTTTGTGCCACTAAGTTTGGTTTTTTGTGAAGCAACAGATCGTTGGAACAGTGTGACAGCCACCGGCCCATCACAATCATTGTGAGGTGTGTTACAAGAAATTTCTTACCAAGCGTAACTCACTGAGGTTTCCAACTGGTTGAGTTTTTATCACATTACAGGGGTTTCAGAATTATCCCCATAATTTCTAAGTCTTACTTCTTTGCGTGTTCAAGGGTTTTCTCAGGAGACAAAGGGCTTGAGTACAGCCATCTACCAGAAATTATACACAACCCCTTAGCCACTTCTACTGCATTATACAGTGTGTGAGTGACAGTGCTCCAGTTTGGGAGGGGGCAGCAAGTTGCCCAGCCCATGGCATGAATTTCTTTCCCCTTGCCTGACACCTGCTTCCCAGGACTCCCTTGCAGTTTGGAATGGCCCTCCGACTGAAGGGCTTCTTAAATTATTTAATTTATGTGAAGAATGTAAAACAGTTCTTGGCACAGGTTAAGCCCCATATAAGTGTTTATTGCTTTTACTTTTGTTATTTTAGATTTTTTCTTCTTCCCTGAAACAAAGAAAACTCTTCCATTTGTTCCCTTCCTTCCTGCTTAATTCACTGGTATGAGGACGTGATGTCTGGAGCTGTGGTAGCTATTTTGTGACCAAGAGGCAACAAACCTAGCATATGAAGCTATTCTTCTAAGGAAGGTAGAATGGAAGAGTAGGAAATTGGGTCCTTGGTGATATCAAGGAGCCATTGCGTCAAATCCCCAAACCTCCTAACTCGAGACTTCTTATTAAATGAGATCACCAAATGTCTTCAGTCGTATTAATTGGGTTTTCTGTCTTCCGCAGCCAAATATACCCTCACAAATCCATCTCTGTATGCCCACCATAGAACCTAGAGAAGGTAGTCAATTAATATTTAATGCCATGGGGTGACTGGCTGGCTCAGTTGGTAGAGCACGCGACTCTTAATCTCGAGGTCATGAGTTCAAGCCCCATGTTGGCCATAGAGCTTACATAGACATTTGGATCATATAGGAGATACCTAAATTCTGACATATGACCCTCCTCAGTGCTACAATGGAAATAAAGTTGCAAATCCCTTCTCGGAAATGCCAAGGCCTAACAAAAATTTTTGACCTGGACGTATTTTGATTTTGCCCTGTTCAGCATCCATTTCTCCTGGTAAACTCCTCAGTTTTCCTTTGAGGAATGGCCCCGTCTTCCGATTCCTTCATTTGCCTGGACACAGGACTCAGGTTTGCTCAATCATCTCCGAAGCACGGTGGCAAGCCTTCCCTTGATCCCCTCCCCCCCGCCCCCCCATGAGAGCCTCTGTATCAGCTGTTCCCTGCGCCCGGGACATGCTATTATTACTTTCCTGCCATCACAAAGTCTTCACCTGGCCAGTTCCCATTCATCCCTTACGTTTCACCTAATATCACCTTCTCCTTCAAACACCCTTCTGCATGGGGCACTGGGCATCCTATTGCTTTTATCTGTGTAAAAACGTCCCCATCCTATTTTTCTGGTGACTATTTAGGTTCAACCGTGTGAAATTGCCAACGCTCTGCCATTTCTAACCTACAATGCCTGGCGATTCCATATGGTTCAACCTAATTATTATTTTGGTAACCCCCAGGTCACACAACCCAGACCCACAACCCCCACCTGGCCAGCCAAAACATTACATTTCTGGGGTGTCTGGGTGGCTCAGTCGGTTAAGCATCTGAATCTTGGTTTCAGCTCAGGCCATGATCTCACTGTTGGTGAGTTCAAGCCCCACATTGGGCTCCATGCTGTTAATGCAGCACTTGCTTGGGATTCTGTCTTTCTCTTTCTCTTTCTCTCTCTCTCTCTCTCTCTCTCTCTCTCTCTCAAAATAAATAAATAAACTTTAAAAATTATAGTCCCTTGGATGCTACAGTCAGTGCTGGGGTGGTATGTGACTCTGGTCAGACCAATCAGAGCCCTTCCCTGATTTTTTTTTTTTTTTTCATTTAGGATTGGAGGAGATTTTTGCCATTTTACCTTTAGGGTATAGGGCTAGAAGCATCCAGTCTGTGTCTGTAAATAAATGGCCATTGCCCCCAGCACATGTGGTTGAAGAGGATGAATCTGAGCTGGGAGAAGCAGAGAGGAGAAATGAGTGAGAAAAGCATCTGGGTGGAATTGAACCTGGGTTCCAGTCTCTAAGGCCAAGTTCCTTGTAGCTCTACCCTTAATCGTCTGCTTCCCACATATATAAGCCAACAATGCCCACTTTTTATGTCTAGTCCAGGGAAGCTAAGCTCCTATCACTTGCTACCCAAAGACTCAGACTAATACACATGTCCTTGAACCTCTGGTCAGGGTCAGCTCCGCTGGGCTCCCACAGTCTCCTGTGCTTCTTACAGCAATATGGCTGCAGTTGCCCTGAGCCCCAGGAGGGCAGGGACTGGGTCTGTCTTAGTTGCCGCTGGGTCTCCAGTGCCCAGCACAGGGCCAGGCACAGAAGGGATAATCATTTCCCTTGGGATACTATGCCCTCTCACACCTAGTGTACCTGTTCCTTGGGTTTAAAGCTCTCGACCTTTTTATGTTTATTTATTTATTTTTTGAGAGAAAGAGAGAGAGAGATCCAGGGAGGGGGCAGTAATAGAAGGAGAGAGAAATCCCAAGCAGGCCTCGAGCTGTCAGCACAGAGCCCAAGGTAGGGCTCAAACTCACGAACTGTGAGATCACGACTTGAGCCGAAACCAAGAGTCGGACGCATAACTGACGGAGACACCCAGGTGCCCCTTAAAGCTCTCGATTTTGAAAACCAAGCATGGCATTGACATTGATAAATACATCTCTACTAAAATGAAGAGGTTACAGGTGAAGGAAGGTGGATGGAGTGTCATCCAAAGGGCCGAACCGGGGATCATGTTGGCCCCAAACGTGTCAACGGGTAGATGGCCAAACTCTGAGATGGCAGTTGCTGATTCAGTTTCTAAGGCACGCACACCCCACCCCAAAGCTGGGGTCTCCACAAAAATCAGACCATATACTGCCTCTACAGAAATCCCTCCATTGGCTTCCCGTAGCTCTGATAATTAAATCTTGACTCTTGACCCCAGTCCACAAGGCTCTTCAGAATCTCTTCCTGCTCACCTCTCCCGCCTCCTCCCCTCCCACTCTCCCACTCACTCCAGCCCAGACATAGCACCTCCAGCACACGAAGCACCTGCTTCCCTTAAGGGCTTTGCATGTGCCATTCACTTTGCCTAAAATGCTTTTCCCTGGATCTTCCTACAATGGATTTCTTCAGCTCCGGCACCACACTCCTTGACCCCCCCCCCCCCCCCGATGGAAGGCGCCCCCGCCCCCCCCCCCCCCCCTCCATCAGTCCTTGTCCTCTTCCATTTTCATTCTTTATGCGACATTTATTTACCACGGGACAAGGCGTTTACTGTCACACCCTCCCTCCCCTGGGGCATATAAGCTCCATGGGGCAGGGGTTTCTTGTTTTGTCTTATTTAACTATTTTGTTCACTGTTGTATCCCCTGCACAGAGCCAGGTACACAGTACATGCTCGAGAAAGCTTTATTGGGTGAATCAGAGACAATATAGTCGGCTGGTTAGGTGTGCAGGATTTGGAGGCAGTAAGCTTTCCGATCGTGGCTCTGCCCTTTGGTGGTTTTGTGGTCTTGGGCCAGCTCCCTTAACCTCTCTCAACCTCAGTTTCCTCCTCTAGAGAATCGGATGCACACGCTACACACATCTGTTGCAGAGCATAAATGCGATCGTGCTGAGTAACTCCATTTTGCTGGGCACTGGCTTGCATGCTCTCTGCTTGCATCAGGGAGGGTCTGTGAGCACAGCGCCTGGCATGTGGGAAGCCCTCAGTAGCCAGGAGTCGTGATGACTGAGAGAAGTGTGGCTGGGCCACTGGGCGAGGGAGCCTCATGGCATGTGAGTCGCTGGTGCTTCTGTCCTGGCTGCTTCCCACCCTGTCTGCCCAGCTCCATCCGCCTCCCTCCTGCTTCGTTTCTATTTCCGTCTTTCTCTCCTCCTCTCCAGGCCTCAGGGGGCCCCTGGCTGGCAAGACGCCTTTTTCCTCCTTCTCCAGGATCGAGGAGTAGTTTTCACTGCAGGCCAAGCCCTTCTCCCCAAGGGCTGGGGCACCCCCATCGGACCAACTTCCCTTCCCCAGCCATAGCCCTCAGCCTCCCCTGAGAAACTCTTCCCCACACACCGTTCTCTGTGTTCCCAGCAAACTCTAACACCTAGAATCCCTCAAATTCCAGACGGCGACCAATGAGCATTTTCCCTCATCCCCTCCCCCAGGTTGACTTTGGATACCTTCAGCTAACCAAGGTCTTTGGGGCCATTCCCTGGCCTCCAGATGGATGCCAGAGGCAATACAGTGTAGTAGAGAGGAGTCGATACTGAGGTCAAACTGCCAGCTACCCTATTTCCTCATCTGGGGGCCTTGGGATAGTGCCTTTCATTTCTCCCTGGTTCAGATTCCTGACTGTAAAATGGGATTAAACATATCCACTTCAAACAGCTAGCGGTCTGACCTCAGAGAGCTGAGCTGTGCTTAGCCCATGTGCAGAATGAACATCCACCAAGCTGCTCAGCAGTAGAGTTCTATGGTTAAGAATACAGACTCAGAAGTCAGGCTGCCTGCCTTTTTCAATCCCAATTTTGCTACCTTCTGTTCTGGCTATGTGACCTTGGGTAAGTTACTTAACTTTTCTGGGCTCAATTTCCCCATCTGCAAAACAGGGTAACAGTGCAGGTGTACTAGGGTTGTTCAGAGGATTAAATGTCTTAAGTGCTTGGCACATAGTAAGCACTCACTAAATGTTAGCTGTTATCATTTTTATTATTCCCCACCTCTAAGCCAGAGGACGGGAAACTATCTGCAAGTATCCCTGGTCCCAACTAGCCGTCCTTCCTTCGGTCTCACTTGAGTCAGCACGCTGTAATTCAGATCACACACACATATCCCCCCAAACACACGGACACACAGAGGTCAGCAGAGCGGCCTCAGACACAGAAAAAAGTTTAATTCTGCTGCGGCGGAGGGTCCCGGCTCCGGCAGGGAGGGGAGGATTTGGTTTTGGATCTTGTTCATGTGGGGGTTTATTTGGGGAAAGAGGAAGGGATACGGGACACTCTGGTCCTTCCAGTGGGACCTGCCCGGGAGAGTGTGTAGTGGGAAGAGGTAATCAGGAGAGAGAGGGAGACTGGACAAGATATGGGAGGGAGAAGAGACGGCGGGACAGAGAGAGACAAGTAGGGAAGGACAGAGACATGAGACAAAGACGACATAGGGCGGGACAGAGAGGAAGGGAACAGAGAAAGGGGGACCCCAAGCCAGACCCGACGGGACCAGGGAGGTGAATGGGGTGGGGGTGGGGGCTTTGGAGGCCGCCGCGGGACAGAATAGGATCTAGTCCAGCCAGATACAAGAAATGGGCCCCTCGCCCCTGCCCCGGTCCCGGGCGGGGGGAGGGGGCTCGTGTCTCAGTGCTGCAGTGTCGGGGGGGCCCTGCCCCTCCCCGCGCTTCGCTGTGTAAGGCACCGGCTCCAGCGAGGTCCGCGAGCGCGCGGGGGGAGGGGCAGGAGGGGGACGAGGAGTCCTTGGAGGAGGGGGGCCCGGCTGCCCGCCCCCTAACTCCCCCGGGCCCGGGGGCGTGGCCAAGAGCTGCAGACGAGGCAGCCTCGCCCCCTTCAGGGAGGAGGAGGGCGCGTCTCCCCCTCCAGTCTGACCACTAGGCGCCGTGCTTTCGCCCCCGAGTCCTGCCCCAGCGTCCGGGTGGCTGGGCGTTTGTCCGCGGCACCCAGGCGTCCCGGCGCCCGCCCGCCGCTCAGACGGTACTCTCCAGCATCCACTCGGTGCTAGTAAAGGCCAGGCGTGCCCTGGCGGAGCCCAGCCCCAGGTCTCCGTCCTCCCCGGCCGCGCCCCCTCCGGCCCCGTCCAGGTGCGGCGTGGACCGGTGGCGCTTTGTCCGCCGGGCGCGGCGCGGGTAACTGTGGCTCTGGAAGAGTGCCCCGTAGTCCCCGTCGAACGAATAGCGCTGCTGCGGCCTCGGCCGGGCCGGGGCCCCCCCAGGAACCAGAGCTAGAGTGGGGGGCGCCGAAGCTGGCGGCCCCAGGGCCCCGGAACGGCTCCTCCGAGGGCCCGCCGTGGCCCGAGACTCCTCCCCAGAGATTTCCTCAGACGGCAGCAGGCACAGCGAGGTGGCTGAGCCGCCCAGGGAGCGTCCAAGGACGGCCTCTGGCTCGGTGGAATCCGACTCGGCGGCGGTGGCCTTCGCCTCGACCGCCAAAGCGGCAGCAGCTGGGGACGTCACCTCGCGCAGCGCCTCGTAACGGTCTTGCGCCGGCGGGGGCGGGGCCTGCGACGCGCCTGCGCCGTTGGTCTGCGAGCACACGTGGCTGACCCGCGGAGGCGACCTGGAGGTACCCTTGACGCGGCGGCCATCTCCGTCGCCGTAGACCTTATAGCGGATCATGAGCAGAACGATGAAGACGAGGACCGAGGCGACGATGACGCCCCCAATGGCGATGATCATGGTGCCACCCAAGAAATGGGCCCTCAGTGGGCGGCAGGGCGCGGGATCCCCGGCAGTGGTAAACTGCACACAGCCCACCACTCGCGTGGCCGGCAGTGCAGTGGCCCCGTCGTCGTAGACTGCCAGCACGCACAGGTCGTAGGCGCGGCCTGCTGCCAGATCATTCACCAGGAAGGTCTGGCTGGTGGATGGGATCATCCTGCAGGAGGGACGCCATCAGCACTGGGTTAGCTCCACTATGAACGGTACCGCTTCATTTGCGTGTCCCATCCGTGGTGACCAACAGGGAACAAACCATGCATTCCTACCGATATTTCACTCTCTATGGGACAACAGCAGCCATTCAAGCAGCAAAGGTACATCCTCTCAGGACCACTGCTACAGGCCACGCCCCTCGTCTGCAAGCCCAGACCTCAGAACCGCTCCCTGTGGTGTTTCATCACCTGCTACGATAATATCTGCCATTCGTGTTCCCTCGTCTACATATCCTGGACCCTGCCTGGGAGGAGTACTATAGCTTTTAAATCCTGCCCTGAAGGAACATGCCTTTAATTTGGGTCAGCTGCCATTCAGAGTCTCTGATCTATAGATTTCCATCCTTGAAGGGGCCCCAATATTATATCCTGCATGTCCCATCCTCCCTCAAGTGGACACCGGTCAACTCACACCCCCTGTCTTACTCCTACTGGGACAACGGATGCTCTTCTAGTTTCTTTTTTCTACCTATTCCCACCCTTTCCGGGAAACCATGATACAGGCCACGCCCCTCATCTGCATGTCCCACCTTGGGTACATACATCTAGCCGCCTCTGTCTATTTCCAAGCCCCTCAACTACATATTCCCACCCACCAAGGGGACCTGGCTATAGGCCACTCCACTTCTGGTTGACCAATCACTTCCAAGCCACACTCCACAGGGCCTACTACAAATGGTTTCCCTACCGTGCCTGGGACCATGTCCGCTCTTTGCGTGTCCTGCAATATCGATCACCTTGTGTTCATGCTGTGCCCCATACCACCAGAGGTCGTGAAATCATGCCCCCAGGGTAAATTTCATCCACAATCGGGTCAAAGGTAACCAAGCAAGCATGCCACTCTCTTGCTACAGGCCCCTGCCTTCTAATGAGGGACAGTGCAAAGAAGTGGTTATGCCGACAAAGCCTGGGGGCCTGTGTTTGAGTCTCTCTGCTGCCCCTTGCTAGCTCTGTGACCTTAGGCAAGTTTCTTAACATCTCTGTGCCTCATTTCCCCAAAATGGAGACAGTAAGAATTCTTCTGTCTTCTTCATAGAGAAAGTGTGAAGTATGAATGAGTTAACCTACCTAAAGCCTGGCACTGGATAATTTCATCATGATTAGCTTGCATCCCACCCAGTGCTGGCCAGTCACCCTCACCGTGGCTCACACTTTACTGCCAATGGCACTCTTCCCCAGCTGGAAGGGCATTCCCACTAGGCCTTGACCCTCTTCTGTTGGGCACATCTCTTCTGTGCTGTTGGCCACATCCAGCCTTGGCTAAGCCAGGACTGCCACATCCACATGGATTTGTATGCCCAGCACTCAACCTCACAAGCTCCCCTCACCTAAAAATCTCATAGTGGGTCACCAGAGACAAGGACTGTTGCCCAAGACCATGTGGCAGGAGCTCCATCTCCTCTGAAAGGCCCCCCCCCCCCCCCCCCAGGCCTCTAGCCCCTCAGCAACTTCACATTCTCTCTAACAAGCCACCTCTGCCATCTCTGGTCCTGAAGCCCACCTCAGCTCCCTTATAGCCAGAGCCACCCTTCAAAAGATTTCAAGTATGGTCCCCATCCCCCCCCACCCATAAAGGCCTACCCGCTTTTCCAACTCACCCCCTGCCTGCCATTTCACACACTGCCCCCCACCCCTTCCAGCCTTGGGCCCCTGGCTGTAAGTCTTCCTCCTCCTCTCATCTCCTCTCCCAAAGAGCACTGGATTCCTCTTGCTCCTTTCCCCCAAAGTAACCAGTTGCTAGGGGCTCCCCACTTTTCAAGGACAGAGGCTGGCTCCTTAAGAAAGCTTCAGCCCATGTGTCTCTAATTGGCTGCAAGACGCAAGCAAGCAGCAGAGCAGGCTTCTGGTTGGATGTCCCCTCCGCCCGTGGCAGCAGTGAGGAGGTTAACCCCTGCAGCACCGTAGCACAGGCATCTTCAATGGGGGACAGAGGGCTGAACTGTGGCCTTGAGGTGAAAGGAAGACAACAGGGGTCTGTTGCCCTGCTGGGGACACAGGGCCACCAACATCTGCATACATGCACGGTCGGTCTGAGGGTCTGTGAACCTCCCCTCACCGCACCACACAGAGGCTAAGCGTTAGAGAAGAAGAGAAACAGAGAGGTGGAGAGACACAGAAACTAAAAGCTATTGACAGAAATGTATTATCCTTCTCCCCTAATCCCTGCCTGGCAAAAAGTAGGGGCTCGATAAATGTGTGTTCAAGGTATAAAGGGCAAGATTAGGAGTTAGAAGGGTTAGGGCTGGAATCCTGGTCACTTCCTCTGTGACCTTGAGCACGTGGTTCCCCCCACTGAGTCTCAGTTTCCCTGTCTATAAAAAGGGAAGGGGGATCATGACTGCTTCACGGCAGAGTTGGGAAGCTCAAATGAGATAGCACAGGGCCTAGCACGGAGCAGGGGCTTGGTGCCTCATAAGGACAGGAGGGAGAGACAGGAGAGACAGAGGCAAAAGCAAGAGAATTGATGGGAGAAAGTAGCCCTTTAATGCCTGTCTATGCTGTACAGATCTGTCCACACCAGGGCAAGGGCTGCTAACCCAGTGGATGGTGGAAATAACTTAGGTGTGTCTATAAAATGGGAGGGGGTATCATCATTGCTTCACAACAAAGTAGGGAGGATCAAATGGTCATTTATATATTTTTCTCATACTTTTTGTTCCTGATTCGTTTAATGTACCTGATGTGTTGCTAACAGTAACACTCGTATGGGTTAATCATAAATGTGTGAGAATATTTCATGTTCCAAAATGTTTAACTGACAAGGTGCAGAATCAAGCACCCTCGGCCAGCAGTGATGTAGACCATGAACCCCAGAGAGCAGGGATGCTGCTGGGCACGTTCACTATTATAACTCCAGTGCCCGGCCCTAGTCTGGCTCGTGTGGGTCCTCGACGAAGATTTACTAAACGCAGGAAAACCAGAAAGAGATAGGGAGACAGAACTAGAGGGGAGGAGACAGGGCGGGTGAGGGCCCAAGACAACTCTGCATGTCCATCTAGAGAACCACAGCTGAGCAGGAAGGCCAACGGAGTGGGCAGATGGGAGGGTGGGACCCTGGAGGAGGTAGAGGTCCTGGGACTGCAGCACCCACCTGTAGACAAGGGAGTCATCTGCGGAGCTGTTGTACTGGACCTGGTACATGCGGATGCCGGGCACGGGCCTCTGGGCCGGCCAGCGGATGAGCACCGAGTTCGAGGTGAGCTCGGCCGCCACGAGCCGGCGCTCAGCGGCCGATTCGTTGGCACCGGGTCGGCCGGGTGTGGCGATGTCTGAGGAGCCGGGCTCGGTGAGGGGAGGCGGGGCGGCCGGCGGGGGCGCCATCAGAGGCAGGGGTACCACGCACACCTCCACGGGGGCCGTCGCTTCCCCAGCGGCGTTGGAGGCGATGCACGTGAAGGTGCCACTGTCCCTTAAGGTGGTGATGGTTACATCCAGTGTCCCATCCCCCCGAACCCGGGTCCGGCTCGAGTTCCCCAGCAACCGCCCATCGGGTGCGACCCAATGCACCACGGGCTCAGGGTCACCCACAGCGCGGCACCGCAGGCTGACCGCCTGGCCCTCCACCACCAGGGCCCGGCCCCCCGCCTGCCGTGTAATCAGCGGGGGTTCACACAGGAACTCCTCCTCGGGAATGGACCAGAAGTAGCGGTCCGTGAGGTGCTCCGGGGTGGCGCACGTCTCCAGGTCGTCCTCTCGGGTCAGCCGCCGCAGCCACAGCAGCTCGCAGTTGCAGTGCAGAGGGTTGCCGCCGAAGCTGACCGTGAGCGGCGTGGGCGGCTTCGGCCCCGAACCTTGGGACCTCAGGAAGAGCCCATCGGGGGGCAGTTTATGGAGGCGGTTGGAGGTCATGTCCAGGCGAACCAGTTTGTGCAGCTGCACAAAGGTACCTTCAGCGATATGGTCGATGAGATTGTGGTCCAGCGTGAGGGTGTTCAGGTTCACCATCTGGCCCACAGCCTCCCACGGCAGGGCCTCGAGATTGTTGTAGGACAGATCCAGGTCCTCCACGGTGGACAGGAAGGCGTCGAAGGCAGCTGACTCGACCCGGCGGATCTGGTTGTTGCCGAGGATCAGGTGGCGAAGGTTGCCCAAGCCGCGGAGCTGGTCGCCACGCACCTCGGCCAGGCGGTTGCTGTCGAGGTGCAGGGCGCGGAGGGCACGGAGGTCAGCGAAGGCGCCGGCGGCCACCTGGCCGATGGTGTTACGGGACAGGGTGAGGTGCACCAGGCTGGTCATGTTGGCGAAGTCTCTGCGGCGGACGGCCGCGATGAAGTTGTCAGTGAGCCGCAGCTCCACCACGCGCCGGTCGATGGCCGGCGGCACGAAGAGCAAGCCGGTCTTGGCGCACAGCATGGTCAGCGTGGGCGCCACGTTCTGGCAGATGCAGCGGCCGGGGCAGGGCTGCCCACGGGATGCCCCGGCCCAGAGCAGCAGCAGAAAGGGCAGGGCGGCAGGTGGCGGCGAGGGGAGCGCCGAGGAGAAGGGGCCCGGAGCCATGGTGCAGAGGGAAGGCGGGAGGAGTGGGGCGGGAGACCTGCAAGGGAACGAGACGGGTTACCCAGGCACAGGGCTTGACCACCGGCCTGGCCACCCACAATGTCCTGCTAGAAGTCTGCCTCAGGTCCCTGCCTTCCTGACATCCAGTCCGAACAGAGGCAGGACTGCTCATCACCTGGCATGCATTTGTTGTTAACAGACAATATTTCCATGCTGGTTAGTAAATTACACGGCCCTCCACCCCCCACCCCCAGGGTCCTAATCCCAACTCTGACCTTCCTCTAGGAGGCCCAGACCTCTCATGATTTTCCAACCAGAGGGGTGCGGTGACACCTGGCCCAGTCTGGGCCTTCCAGTACCCACTAAATATTTTTAAAAATCAGGGTTGACTAGGGTTTAAGGTTGTGGATTTCAAAGCCATAGTCCCCGGGTTCAGATTCCAGCTCTGACACTTACTAGCTGTGTGACCTCGGGCAAGTGTCTGAACCTCTCTGAATCTCGGTTTCTTCATCTGTAAAATGGAGATAAAAACAGGCCTTACCTCTGTGAGGATTAACTGGATCAATGAACATAGTGTACTTAGAACCGTGCCTGGAACATAAAATGTGTTCAATACGTGTTGGTAATTATTCTCATCATGATCATTGAGGGCCCAATATATGCCAGGTACAGAAGTGTGCACTATTATTAAGAGTAAGTGCTCTGAAATCAAACAGACTCAGGTTCAGTCCTGGCTCCCCACTAGCTGGTTCTGTGACCGCAGACCCATGATTTCCCCTAACTAGGCCATAATTTCCTAATTTGTACAACGGGATGACAATCATACCATCTTTGCGGGGTTGTTGCAAGGGTTCAGTGAGCTCATTCATTGGGGCCACTGAGCACAGGGCCTGACACACAGTAAGTATCCAGTAAATGTTAAGGGGAACCACTACCACCACCACCCCCCCACACACACACCCTTGGGAGTGGCAGAGGGAATCTGAAGTTAGGAGGCGCTGAGAAAAAACACAGCAGTCTCCGTCCCAGTCTTGGGAAGTCCTTCTCTGAACCTGGCTTCATCCTGGGCTCTGGTGAGCTCCCAAACAGCGGGCAGACTTCCACGCTCACATCGGCGGGCACATACAAGGCCCCATACATGCCCACACTCACACACACCCTCACACACTCACGCTATGCCTCTGCTCCAGGCAAAACCTTCCGGCAGGGATTCCCCTGCGGCGGCTGCAGCCCACGACATGTCAGTTCCCATCACAACACCGGGTGGGTGGGGGGGTGAAGAGGGAAGGATGGGAAGGGGGCGTCCCTGAAACTGTTTTCACCCCACCCCGCACCCAGTCCCTTGCTGGCCCACCTCCTAGGGATCTGCAGTTTGGGGATGTGGCCTGCTGTGGCCCTGATCCTTCAGCCTGTGGGGAGGGGGACCAAGAGAGTCAGAGAGAGAGGGGCAAAGAGACAGGGAGAGACAAGTGGGCAAGTGGGGAGATGCGCTGGCAGACACAGAAACACAGAGTCAGAGAGAGAGACAAAGGGACAAAAAGAAAAAGAAGCTGAGGGGCGCCTGGCTGGCTCAGTCAGTAGAGCATGTGACCCTTGATGGCAGCGTGGCGAGTTCGAGCCCACATTGGGCAAAGAGCTTAAATAAATAAATAAATAAATAAATAAATAAATAAATAAATCAATCAATCAATCAGGAAAAGAGAAAGACTCTGAAAGAAAGGTGCAGAGGCAAGGAGCCAGCCTGAAACCAAGACAGACTGGAGCACTAAGAAGGGAGGAAACAGGCAGAGAAGGGCGTTGAGCCCAAGAGATGGGGAGAGGAAGAGTGAGGGAGAGGCAGGAAGTGATCCTAAGAGATTACAGAGACCAAGATGGAGGAAGAGACAGAGACAGAGGGACAGCGCCCGGGCTGGAGAGAGAAAAAGAGGCAGAGGCAGGGCATCCCACCATCTCTGAGCACCCCCTATTAATTTGTCTTGCGATCCTCCTGGGATAAAGCTCTGTATCGAATGGAAAACCTGAAAGGCGGCACTCCTGAGTTGGGAGGCCCAGCTCTGCACCTGCCTGCCTGTGGGGTCTCTAAGGCTCAGAACCCCGATCTATGAAACAGAAGTGCCCAGTTTTGCCTCCCACACCTGGGGTGGGACTCGAGTCGAAGGGATACTAACAGCAATGAAAATAGCTAACATTTCTTGAGAGGTAGTGCAGCATTGCAAGCAAGAATCTGGGCCTGGCTGCGCAGGTTCACACCCCAGTTCCCCGTTGCGCGACTTGAATCCAGTGACTTCCCCTCTTTGTGCCTCAGTGTGCTCCTCTGTAAAATGGGGATAATGATAGCACCTACCTCATGGGGTTGTTATGAAGTATAATACACTGTAACATGTTCAGAATAGTTCCTGACAGACTAAACACTACATAAGTGTTAGCAGCTATTATTAACATCATCACCATCATCATCATCATCATTATTATTGTATCATTTTCTCTGCCTCTCTCCCAGCCACTAGCCAATCAGTCTACCGGAGATCTTCCCACATGCACGCACGCACACACACACACAAAATGGTAAACCATGTCGCTCTCCAAATGCAAGGTTCACTTCATGTCACGAAACTCTCTGTACCCCCTACTGATATCATCAGGAGACTTCCTTGTCCCAACCACCTGACCCACCCAGAGAGGGGATGCTTCCAGGCCCGAAACCCCACCTACCACCCATGCCCTGGCTCTACCACGAGCCCTGATCCAAACATGATGCTCCTGATCTTGTTGTCATGGCCGCCCCCTCCCCCCCCCCCGGCCCGGGGGCCCTTTCGAAGACACTGCCATACCCTGCCCTGAAATCCATACCAGGCAGGGCTCCAGGCCTCCAGCTGGCTCAGAACAGGCCCAATCACTCCACATCTCTCTCCCCAGCCTGAGGGACCCCACTCACCTCTCTGCAGGGAGTTAGGGCCTGGGCCGGTACCTGCAAAGGAACAAAATGATCCTATTAGCATCCTTCTGGCTCCTCTTTGAAGACCTGCCTCAGAGACCATCTCAGCCAAGGAAGTCCCTGGTGTGATCATTCTCTCAGCCCTCCTGCTGCAGGCTCTGCATAGGCTCAGACAGACCCAGTGAGTTGTTTCTGGAATCCAGGGAATCTGGGTCTCAGGACTGTTCACCCTCCAAAACCCAGGAGTCCGGGGCTTTAACTCTTTGTCCTCTGTGGGCCCAAGAGGCCAGGAACCCCAGCCCCTTCCCCTTCCTTCCACCCAGGTGTCTACAACCCCAGCTTCCTCCTCCTTCAAACTCCAGAGTCCAGGTCTCAGTTTCTTCCTTTCTCAAGACCCAGGAATCTGGCCTCCCAGCAGCCTTCTCAGATCCAGGATTCCAGGCTTCCAGTCTCCTCCTTCCAGAGTTCACATCCTAGTCCTCCAACTTCAAAGAGCTGAGTGGTACTGGGGGTAGGAAAGAACCAGCGGTCCCCATCCTTGCCATTACACCATTGTCACACCAACATGCGTGGACATGCCAAAACCCACATGGGCCCAAGTCTCTACATCTGGATTTCCATGAACCCACCAGCATGATGTGTGCCCCCCACCCTCCATGGCCTCTTAGCCCAGCATGTGGACACCCTTGTGTCCTTGGACCCCCTGGATGGACCCCAGCATACCACGGGTCACACCACATGGGCCCAAATCTCACTGGGCCAAGAAGTGGGGTCAGCCTTATGCCAGGAAGACAGGCACATGTGTGCATACGCCCTGCACATAGACCAATCCCCAGAGACCAACACTGACACATAAATGGACTCACAACACAGACCCACACCCTCAAGGTTGACACAACCTGCACACAACCACACATGTACAACATTGACTTTCCCTTGCACATTCATATATACATATGCACACACACAACAGAGAAACCCATGTGCCTTCTTGCAGACAATCGGATACATGCACCTATAAGAGAGAAACACGTGCACACTAGCCAACACACAGG